AAGGCGATACAATCCCAGTTATTGCACCTACCAGGCATAGTCAAAGGACTATTCGACCGCCTAACAGGTATGGAGATTGGGATTTTGGAGCCATGCATGAAGAGATGGAAGCTCTCTCGAAGAACAACACTTGGGACGTATGTCCATTACCAAAAGGTAGCCATGTTATTGGTTGCAAGTGGATTCAAATTCAAAGATGACAGTCGATACAAGACTCGTATCGTTGCTAAAGGCTTTGCTCAATAGAAAGGTATCGAGTATGACGATATTTTTTGCTCCTGTTGTATGTCATACATCTATTCGTGTTCTTTTGGAAATCGTGGCTATACATGATTTGGAACTAGAACAGTTAGATGTGAAGTTCGCCTTCCTACACGAAGATTTGGAGGAAATTAATTACATGAAGCAACCCGAAGGCTTCATCTCCGATGGCAAGCCAGATTATGTATGTAAGCTCAAAAAGTCCTTCTATGGACTTACACAGTCGCCTCGTCAGTGGTATAAGAATTTTGATTTGTTTATGCTTACTCTGGGATTTGAGCGAAATGAAAAGGATGCTTGTGTTTATCATAGACAAAGCAGCGGTATTTTCACTTATCTTCTTTATGTAGATGACATGCTTATTGCCTGCAGGGACCGATAAGAAATCGATCGTCTGAAAGATAAGTTGAAGTTAGAATTTGAAATGAAGGATCTTGGTGCGGCGCAGAAGATTTTAGGCATGGAAATTGTTCGGGATAGAAAGTCTCATACTCTTAGATTAACACAACGAGCTTATATCCAAAAGATATCAAAGCGGTTCAATCTTGATGGTGCCAAGACATCTAGCACTCCGCTACCAAAGCAAATCAAGATTACAAGTGAAGATTGTCCGAAAGATGACAAGGAAAAGGCTGAAATGTCAAAGGTTCCATATGCTAGTGCAGTCGGCAGTCTCATGTATGCCATGGTGTGTACCCATCCTGATCTTGCACATTATGTCGGAGTGGTGAGTTGGTTTCTCGCGAATTCGGGTTTAGCACATTGGGTAGCTGTTAAAACGACATTCCGATACTTGAAAGGAACCGAAACACATGGTCTTATATTTGGTTTACACAATGACTGTGAAATTGTTTTATTTTGTGATTCTGACTATGCAGGTGATCGAGTAGGTTGAAGATCCACATCCAATTATGTATTTACCTTGGGTGGAACAATCTTCAGTTGAAGATCACAGTTACAGTCCATTGTGGCATTGTCAACCACAGAAGCCTAACTTGTTGCGGTGGTTGACTCTGCAAAAGAAGCGGTCCATTTGAAAGAATTGATGAATGACTTAGGCTTCGAGCAATCTTCCATGCACATTTTCTGTGATAATCAGAGTGCATTCCATTTGGCAACTAATTTGGCTTTCAGTTCTCAGACAAAGCACATAAATGTGCGTGATGCATATCTCCTAGATTACATGAAGCGAAAATTGTCTATTTGAAGGAAGTCCTGACAGACGACAATGCCGCTGATATGTTCACTAAGTCATTACCACCAACTAAGTTTAAGCATTGCTCAAACTTGATCCAGCTTCATTTGTGTTAGTGCCATTGGACACTTTGGCAGATAGAGGTTATATTATATCTTTGAAGGAATTACTTTGTTAAGTGCTTTAGAGCTGTGCTTTACTCTACCTTGTTTAAGTATATTGTGCATTCAAGGTATTGGTTTGCTTGTAACTTTGACGGGTGATGGCCATGCTAAAGATTGTCACGGTTGGAATGCAATTTACTACCTCATGCCAATTTACTTGCTATCTACTTGTTATGATCAACTCTTGGAATAACTCGTATTTGTTGGATTGGGATTCGTTTCGCTTTCGAGGATTTTGTGCATCATGGTGGAGTTTTGTAAGATAAAATATATTACTTGTGTTTATGGATGCTGCACTCGATGACCAAATCAGTAAAAAAAACCGAAACTTGGTCACTACTCATCGAAACTTGGTGACTATTCCACAAAGCTTGGTCCCTATTCTTGCCATGCTCGCTCAATACTCATCCTCCAACCTTGGTCCCTACTCTTTGTTTGGTTATAAATAACCATTTGGACCCAACATTTTAACACACCCCGGTTTCTCTTCTTCTTCTATATACAACACTGTCTCTAGCTAGTATTTTTTCTATATATGTGTGAGATACGAGAGTGTTCTTGAAATTCTTAATATTCTAGAACACTTGCTAGTTAATTGTGGATTTAAAAATCCTTATACAAGCTCTCTGTAATCTCCTTGGTGGTAATAAAAAATTCTTGCTCCCTCTCTTTAGTGGATGTACATTATCACACCGATAGTGAAACCACCTTAAATTCTCGTGTTGTTATTTTGTGAACTTGTCATTTATGTAGATAATAACATATATTGTTATTATCTATACTTGGGGTTGTTTATTATCGATAGAGTCATTGTGTAACATCTAGATCATTGTTATCTGCATTTGTTGTCGGTTTCGTTGTGTCCCTGGATTTCTATTTTGAGGGACCTTAGAAATCACTTGCTAACTTTGTTGTTGTGACACATCTTATCCCACAACTTTTACATCAGAAATACAAATGTTTTGTCCTATAACTATAAAACTATACATTTAAGGATTTAGACATTTTCTTAAGTTTCTATAAATCCAATTTTTTGTGATACTCCTCATGTTTGATCAAGTTATTATTTTTGATTTCCTAGGAGGTTAGGCTATCAGATACCACTTACTCTTTCATCTGATTATATTTGTATCTAATAACATGGATAAACCTCTTATAAATAATCTTGAAAATTATAATTTGAATGGAGGTACCAGCAAAAGCATGGAAGTAACACTCGTACGCAAATTGGGTCCTTTGTTTATATAAATTAAGGAGTATCATTATAGAAAATAGTTTTTAATAAAACACATTCTTATAATTTTATTTTTATAACAAATATGGTCATTTCTAATAACGTTTGTTAATTAAATTTCCGTTAGTGCAGAGTAGTTTTATTCATTAACCCTTTCCCCCCCTCTTGACTTCCATTTTTTAAACATAATTGGTCTCTCTATCTACTTTTTATTTTTATAGCAGGTTTGGTTCCTACTTTTGATCAATAAAATTTGGTGAAAATATCTATCTATCCATCTATGAACTCTAGTCATCTTGTATAAATATTCAAATCATAATAAATGAACTTTCATTATTTACATAAATATCTAAATTGATTAAGTTATATTGATTGTATAAATAAACATGATTACATTTGAAATATATCCTATATATAAATATAAATATAAATATAATTATAATTGAATAAACCAACATCAATTAAATTGAATAAACCAACATCAATTAGGTATTCAACCCAACCAATTTAACATGTTAATGTGCTATAAATATAGGATCATTGGAGCAACAAATACAACTAAAAAACAAAAACTAAACAATTTCATGAAAGTAGGGTTTTTAAAGCTTAGATTTTGAAATCAGATATTTTACATAGAAATACTTTACTTCCATGAAATTATTTGGCTCACATAAAATATTATTTTGATAAATGCTTTGTTGTAATTAGTTGAAAATTAAAAAAAATGTTAAAACTAAATAGTTAACATATTAGATAATAAGATATAAAAGTATAAGTTTAACGAATTTACTAAATCTAATTAATATAAAAAAAATCATATTTAAATAAAATATAAAAACAATTTACAACTAATTTACTAAATCTATTTAATATACACTAAAAATAGTTGCAGTGGAAAGATAAATTCATACATATATATTCAAGTACAAATTGAAACACATGAATCGACCCAATTTATAAGGATAATCACCTATGGTGGGAACCCATCCTTATCAACACAAATCATTGTCGAGAATAAAAGTTATGATGAGAAAAACGAATAATTATATAAGGTAAAAAGTTATGATGAGAAGCATAAAATATATATATATATAGAGAGAGAGATGTGAGTTATTATACAATCTTCTACATTTGTACAACCAATATAACTCAATCTCAACTGTTTATTTAATTTGATTAATATGTAATTTTATAGAAATTTTGATTGTTTCCTAATATAAAATATTAATTATAATTAATAAACCTTATTCATTTTTCCATAAATATTTAAATCATAATAAATGAACTCTCATCATTTTCATAAATATTTTAATTTATTGGGTTGTATTGGTTGTACAAATGTGATGAGTTACATTTGAAACAATCTCTCTCTCTCTCTCTTTATATATATATATATAAATTCTTAATCACTTTTAATCTTGTATCTAGGGGTATTCAAAAATCCGATCAATCCAACCCAACCCAACCCAACGTGAAATAACCCAACCCGAAGCAACCCGATGTCTAATCAAGTTATAAAATTATCAAACCGTAGGTATATGAGTTGATATAGAGTTACTATTATTTGAACTCAACCCAACCCGATAAACCCGATATCCTTTTATTTCTTGAATTTAATATGATTGTTGAATTTATATTAATATATACATCTGACAGTTACACTATCATGTATGTTTTTCATATACACATATTYTCAATCTATTCATATCTCTATATAACTCATTCATATATATGTTCTGTAACTGTGAACATATATATGTAAATTGAGAAAATTAACTAAATGTGATATATGTAAAAAATATGGATAAGTTGTATCAAATGATTGATGATAAAAAAGAAATTATGAGTAAAGAAATAACATATTTAATGTTAAAAGAATATTTTAATATACCAAAGTATCAACCCGACCAACCCGTACGAGTTGGGTTGGATTGGATTGCACTTTGGTTTAGGTTGAATTGAGTTAAGATTTTTTTCAAACCACAAACATTAAATTAGGTTATTCAAATATCTTCAACTCCGTCAACCTAACCTATAAACACCCGTAGTTGTATCCATTCATAAATTACACGTAAGAAAAATTAATAATCCGGTTCACTAAACGGACCCAACCCCATTACCAATATATATTCACTAAAATGCGCACCCTGGGGACTCCGTCTTCCTCTGCAACCCCAAGAACTCCCACTCAAACTGATTTCTCTTTCGCATAACATCCTGGATCTATAAGTCCAGCCATGTCCAACGCTATCCGATTACTAACTATTTCACCTCTTCAATCAGCAAAGTCACTCTATCTGCCATCTCACCGTCTTGCGTTTTCAAGTTTTGGAGTTTCAGATTTTTGTGATTGTTTGAAGAGAAAGAGTAATGTAAATGGAGTCCGTACGAAGGTCTTCACTACGATTAGTCAGCAAGGATCGATTCCTGGTCTTGATTATTCTTCTTCTCCTGTTTCAATCGAGCTGAAACCTATCTTAAATGAGAGTCAATTCGATCTGGTGATTGCTGAAGCTGAACAGCTCGATGAATCAGTTGTTATTTTATGGTATGTTTATTGCTTTGATTTGGTGTGTATTTCATTATTTTTATTGTTATGATTTGTTTTACATTCGCTATTTTTGTAATTGCTTGGTCCATTATGATCGTAAAAATGTGTTCAAATAGCGATATTCATAGATGCTATGTTTATAACACATATTTACAAGAACTCCTATATTTATGTCTTCTTCGTTAGTATTCTCTTCGTCACAAATAACCTGCAACTTTTCTTTTCCTTATGTCTCAAACTTCCCAAAGTAAATGTAAACATCTCCCTCTTTGGTTAAGTTCGCTTAACCATCAATAATCATTACAAAATATGGATAGCATGCATTTCAGCAAAAAGATTATTTGATAGTTTATATATTTGACTCAGGTTTGAACACTTCCATCAAAAATGGTGTCCTGTGTTGCATTAAGTTTGGGAATTTCTGATGGTGGGAGTATGATTAATGTTTGGAATTAGGGGTGTTTAATGTTTTGATTCAATATGTGAAGCTGTTATTGTTAGTACCTTTATCCTTGATTGCGATATGTTTGAACTTTTATTTTCATGTAGGTAATTTTCAAAAAATCCAATATCACCATGATTTCTTAGTTTTTGGATAGTTCTGGTCATATTTTTCTGTGATTTAATTCAGTTCGGTGATCATATTACTACTATGTCTTTTGTTGATGGTATACCATTGATGGTTTAAGTTAAAACTGATATTTATTTGTGCTGTTTTGTGTTTGTAGGATGGCAAAGTGGTGCAGGAAATGTATATATTTGAAACCAAAATTGGAAAAGTTGGCAGCTGATTATCACCCTAGGTTAAATAAACCTTTTTACTCAATTATTCCTTTCTTGAGCTGCTTATTGTTGATAAGTTCTTAATGCATCAGTATGAAATTTGTCACTTTAAGCTTTCGAACTATCTAAATGTTGTCATATACGATCAACGCCTCTATTGCTTCCTAATCTCACTATCAGCTCACCCCCAATACAATCCTTGCAATTAAGAGAATTGAAATAGATGCAATGTATATTATGTTACCCTTGTCCTTGCTGATCTGTCCCAGCGGAAGAGGTATGGGTGTAATTCATATGAGTGAGGTCCCAGGTTCGAGTATGGGTGTAATTCATATGCACTGATTCACCTCCCCATGATGACTGAGGGACGGGTGCTGTGAGAGGGTGGCGGCTATCCTTCTTTTACATTATATTACTCTTTCGAAAGCACAAGTAACCACCACTGCAAATGATAAACTGACATTTAAACTTATACACTCGTTTTCTTTATGCAATAGCATCTCAGTGGAGACAAAGATAAAGGGTGCAAGTGTATACAGTTTTGCTCAGCTTGAGAGCTCACAAAAAATAGTCATTACTTTCTTAGTGGAGTGCTTCGAGCTTTGCGTGTGGTGAGAAATGAAATGAGCATGGGTCATCGAGTCTTTACAGTTTACTAGATGGATGAGAGGCTATTTCAGGATAGTATGATCCATTTGGGCGGTAGTGACATTGGGTCATTAAACAGAACATGTAAAGGAATTGGTTGATGGGTGAGTAGTAGGAGAGTAAATAATCCATGCTCAAGAAACTAAGTGGGTAAGGGTAACAGCCAAAGAAAATAGAAAATTACAAACTTTAAGCTTTGGTACACATGAAAGGAGAGGATTATAAACCTCAGGGTCCTTAAAACTAAATATGAAATCCGAGTTAACTGATACTTTTAGTAGGAGTAGAGCAAATGATCAATTGGCAAGTTGGTTGGTAGAGAGCTAAGAGATACAACTGCAAGCGTTAAATTATGACACACAGAAAAGAAATGAACAGAAATGAAGGAAGAATTCTCATAGACAAGATTGTAAAAAATGAAATAGTTATGGTCAAAAGACAAACATATAGAATCATTTTGTTCAACTACTAGTGGGGGAGGTTATTATATATGGTGTGGGTGCATATGCCCCCAGGTGGGCTTACACAAATCTAGAGAGGATTTTAGGAAGACCTGGATGAAGTTGTCTGGCAGTTACCAACTATTGAATAACTTTGTCTGGGACGTGATCTTTTAATGGTCATGTTGGTAGAAGTAGTTGTGACTGTTGTGTATTTGGAGGATTTCTTAAGGTTTGAATATGGTTAATTGGAATGAAGAATTAGAAGACAAACTTGACTTTTTCAGTGTAGATACATTTTTCTGGGATAATCATTAATCATACCTGGCGACATTTAGACAAAGTGTTTTTGGAAGGATTCTTGAAGGTTTGGATATGATAATAGGGATGAAAATTTGGAAGACAACTTCACTTTTGCAGTGGCCAACAATTTGATGCTGGTAAATACATTTTTCTTGATATATAGATTTGAAAGCTAATACTACGTTGACCGAGATGTCAGCGCAAGTTGACAAGTGGCTAAAATATGCTCAAAGAAAGTAAAGCACCAGGAGCTACAAATGCCAAGGAAATAAAAGAATGCTTTGTAAGAGTGTGCATAAAATGGAAATGAGTCCAACAAAGGAAGCGGCAAGACATGCTAAATGTTAAGAGTATACGAGGATTGTTTCTAAATACTGGAACAAATGAGGAGATAAGGACATTAATATGTTCCAAGAGATTAAAAAAGCGGCCTTGGTCATATCAAATTCATTGTCGATGAGAATTGAAGAAAACTAGCAAAAGAGGTCCAGGTTGAACAAGGCAGATGGACGAGTTTGAGAAGTTGCTAAAATTGAGATAACAAGTTACAAACATAAATTCACATATCCGAATCATAATTCAGAATATTTAAATGGATCAAATAACTTACATATGAATTACAATTATATTGTACAAGTAGGGAAAAAACATGAAGGGCAGAGAAACAAATATCTTTGTTGTCTTGTAAAATTTCAAAATACTACCTTGGGTTTTTATGGCTATTGTGCCTCAAGTGCAACCATTTTATGTTTTCACTTTGTCACTTGATGTTACCTCAGCCAATAAGGGTAAGCACATCTCAAATCTGAATGTGCCCTTTTGCCTCATTTCATAATTGGTTCAGCATAGCAATCACACATTTATGACATTTCTGTATGCAAACAGAGTAAGGTTTTATTGCATTGATGTCAACAACGTCCCTTATAAGCTTGTGGTTCGTGCTGGAGTCACTGTAAGTCTCTCATACCCACAAAATTAGATCATGTAAATATATCGTTTATAAAAGTAGGCTCGTATTACTCGTTCTCTTTACTCGAAATGAATTGGCTTTATTCATTCTTGGTTTTATCATCACATAGTTTGATGGGCAGCATTTGCAGACATTCTGATTAACGCCTGACTTGTGCAATTTCATGTAAATTTGACCCGTCGGGATGTATAAACGGTGCAGAAAATGCCAACTGTACAGGTGCATACATTGATTTTACATAAAGTTGTTGGTGGAGTGCAAAAGTAACAAATTTTGTGTATGTTATTGTATATAGGTGTGGAAGAATAGCAAGAAACAGGCAGAGGTGATCGGAGGTCACAAAGCATATTTGGTTGTTAACGAGGTTCGTGAAATGATAGAAAATGAGAACGAACCCTAATTTACTTTTCTTGTTTTTCACTGGTAGTATAGAAATTGTTGTTGATGGTTTTGAATGTTTGTATATCTTGGAGGATCAGAGAATAAACAATAAAACCATTGTTGTTGATGGTTTGAGCAGTCTGATATGTCTTTGTAGTTGCATTCTTTAACAAGTTGGGTCATTGTAACCACAAGGGTGGTGTCTGATTGGTTTGAGCTTGGCTCCAAAAGTCAAAATTACAAGGAGGTCTCAGGTTCAAATCCAAGGAGGAATAAAAATTCCCTTGTGGCCACGGAGGTTCAAATGCGGTGATTCCTGGCTATCTGCAAAGCAGGTAGTTGCCCTGGGATTAGTCGGCTCGCATAGCGGGTTGGATATCCAGGTTAATAAAAAAAAGTTGGGTCATTGTGAATAAGTGTGTTCTTGCTTAGGGATAAAATAAACAAAAATAAGATTTATGGAATATGATGTATGCAAATCTTAGAGGTAAAAAGATTAGAAGTTGCAAAACAAATAGAAAGAAGATGTGCAAAGCAACAAGAATAAAAGTATGAAAGGTAGGTTAGACAAAAAAAGAAACACAAACAAGTATTAGTGTAAAAGGTGATACAAGTAGGTAGGAAGTAGAGCTGTTCATGAGCGGGACAATCCATTAGACCCAGCCTGCTAGAAATACAGGGTTGGACAACCATTATCGAGAAAATGGACGAGTTTGAATTTGTTCGCTAAAATGAACGGGTGGACATAGGCAATATAAAAGTAAATATGGACAAACCTGTCCAACTCGTTTATATTTTATAATTAATATCTTTTTACCATTAATTAAAATTATACTAGTATATTTAAAATTAAATTATTAAAGTGATAGGATGAGACTCTTTGGTTATTCGTGAGAACCCAAAAGGTTAAGGGATTGTTTGTTTTTCATTCTTTCTCAACTTGTTGAGATCCATGTGTCATTTTAGTTGCTTAAAATTTTAATTGCAATGATGTTTTTCCTTTACTTTTTGGTTTCACATTTGTTAATTAATTGTTAGTGATCAAGTTTATAGATTTATAAGAGTTACACTTTTTGGGTCCGTTAGCCCGTGGGCGAGCTCGACCCTTTTATAGGGCGGGCAATGGCAAGTTGTCAAGCTCGAAAAAAAGGGCTTGGGTTTATAATATTAGGCCCGTTGAACAAAAAACAAGTTAGGCCCGATCTAGATACAACCCAGGTCCACAAATGATCACCTCTAGTATGAAGGAAACAATAAGATTCAAGGTATTCCCAACTTCCAACTTCATCAAAAAAATGCCCTGCTACAAGTTCATACTCATAGTCTGCTACACCTAACAACTCCTAGGGTTGTGCACGGGTGGACTCGGGTTGGATTGGACCATAAAAGGGCTAAACCGATCGGGTATCGGGTTACAATACCACAACTCGTAATATGCAGTTCCGGTTTAGGGGAACATCGAGTTCGGGTCAGTTTGGGTTCTGGTATTGTGTCCTAGCCTCCCAGGTGAGCATTCCTTCCATGGTTGCCCATCTTTTGCAGTTCTAAGCAGTTGCTCGGTATCAGGATAATCAGATAACGTGCTATGAAACCAACAATAGATTGTCTACCATAACAAATTAACAATTAACAAGTATTCCAAGTAAACAATGCTGCAACAATGATGAAAAGGACCACAATGACCACTAGGAGAATAGTGTTATGGACTGCCCCAAGAATAAAACCACCGGCAATAAATCCCATCACAAACAGTAGAATCATGGACCACAAAATTAAGCAAATAAATAACTTTTACGACATATCCTAAAAGGATCATTGTTGATATTAGTATTAACATTGTTGAATACTACCAAAAGTACTCATCAGCCATCATAAAACATTAACAGATTTGAAACTTTGAATACAACAAAAAGTACTCATCATAAAAGATAAAGTAGACCTAGTTTGAAACTTTGAATACTATAAAAAGTACTCATCATAAAACTTACAACAAACCCAGATGATGATATAAAATTACTTGAAACAGATCCTCCGATCAGATGTTGTATTGTGGTTGTGTTTCATCTAGATCATCTACATCAACTGTTGGAAGACAATCCTCATGGTCAGTGACAGAATTTGAACTTCCAATTCTCAATATCATTATTTCTGCATTTATAAAAACAAATTAAAAGAACGATATAAATATACAAATTTAAGTATATACTAACATAATTAATATCGTATCTTTCTCAAACTTTTCAATATCATCTATGTTTTCTTCAAGTGCAATTGGCTGACTAGGACCTCTTAGCCAGTCTTGTGTATATATATAAGGGCTTCTACCATTTTAGGAGATAGAGAATAGGGGTGAGTACAGGTCGGTTCGGGCCATAAAAGGACGAACCCGATCGGGTGTCGGGTGAGAAAAGCCCACCCCGTATTATGCAATTCGGGTTCGGGGGGAGGTCGGGTTCGGGGCAATTCGGGATTGGGCAGTTCGGGTGGGCTCGGGTAAGAGATGCTTAGGACTAAGCTCACAACAATTAATGAAGAGCCAGATACATATAACCAGAATAAATAATGCAGCAAAGACACCAAGGAAGCGTGTGAAAAAGGAACAAGACTTGGGTCGGGTTTTCACCACTCAAGTCAGCCTAAAGAACTCATATGCACTCTTCTTGAACACGATGATAAGTAGTAGAAGCTTTGGTGGACTTTCAGCATACTAACTTCATCTTCTTCAACGTTGTTTCTTCTATATGTCCCTTTATTCTTTATGGAACTCTTCATGTTATTTTATTTTCACCCTAACAGATCAACTCTTTGTTCTGGATCATCTTGTTGGTTCCTACTGTATCAAAGAATTATGTGCTTTCATTTGCTTCATCTTTATAATTGGACATACTTGCATATATCATGGCAAAAACATAATAAAAAAAACATTATCCCTAGTAGCTTGTTCTATGACTGATTCATTCGATTGATCGATTCCTATAGTTTCTTAGTTTCTTACCAGTTCTGGACTTCTGGGATCCTCAGCTTCTAGCCGTTGTCGACGAGAGAGGAGTAAAGCCTGAGACTATAGAGGACTGATTCGATTGATCGATTTGATGGGGAATTGGCAGATTGGCGGTCGAGAGAGTCGAGAGTGTACAAATGCTGAGATAGACCGATCGGTTGAATGGAATCCCTAAGAAAGAGTATGTTTGTTTTCTTTGGGTTTTAGGCGGGTTCGGGAGGGCGGATCATGAGATCCTACCCGATCCGTCTAACCCGATATAATTATCGGATTTCGGTCCTCGGGTTGGTTCGATTCATATAGATCGGTTCGGGTTGGTTTTCTTCGGTCGGTTTTTTCGGGTAGTTTGGGTAGGGTCGGATTTTACATAGCCCTAATAGAGAACTCCTAACATTATCTAAGACCCTGCCACTAGTACTAAAAGTTGATTCAGAAGCCACAGTTGAAATTGGAACAACAAGTGCATCTCTAGCCAATTTTGAAAGGATAGGAAACCTTTCACTGTTAACCTTCCACCATCTTAAAATATCAAAATCGTTTATATCATCTATGGTGGACTCACTTAGATAAACTTCAAGTTCATTTTTTCTATTGAGTGAAGCCTCACTTCATCTTTTGTTTCTTTAGTTGGCTTTTTAATCTAGATTATACCCTTCCAACGGGAACATTCTCACACTTAACGGGTAGAGAAGGCATCATAGTGGTAGAAGGTTCAGAATATGTTACATACTTTTCAAAAACATATTTAGTTTGGACTTTACCTTCTCAAAACATGATTTACCTTGATCCTCACCATACATTTGATTAAGCTGGACTTGCATGTACTCAACCTTGTCTCTGGGGTCGAATATATTGCCAAAAAATATTATAAAGTTCATCTTATCTGGATCACCCCAATATTTACTAAACTTCTCTTTCATTTTACCACCCATTTCTGTTCATAAATCAAAAACAAAAAGTTAGTCAACAACCAAATATAAGTAAATACTAAAATTTAAATTGAAGAAAGATAAACATACCTCTTCAACTTTTGACTTAGATTATAACATATCGGCAATAATGCAACTCAAATATGAAATCTCAGATAAGAAAGAATTTGAGGTGACATAAAGTGAGCCAGAAATTATGATTGTCATCTCATAAAATGTCTTCAAAAATATCACCAAGTTGTCAACAGATAACCAATCAAGATATGAAGGCACCGAATCACCTAAATCCAAAGTCAACGCGGTGTCACTATTCTCATACGTCTCAAAAACTTGTATGTAAGCTATTGCGGTTTGAAGCATCATATATGTGGAGTTCTATCTAGTTGGAACATCAAGACATAAAGAACTTTTCTCTTCCACTTCAAGCAATTCTGCAAGCTCTCTAAATTTCTTCAACCTAGATGGAGAACCCCTCACCCACTTAATGCAATCCCTAATCTTCTTAACTAATGTATCTACTAATTTCAATACATCTTGTACAACCAAATTTAGAATATGAGCAATGCATCTCATATGTATGTACTCGGCCCTAGTAGAAGAACCACCCCAATTCACCACTTTCTTCTTCATGAACCCAACGACAATATCATTTCTTGATGCATTATCAACTGTGATAGTGAAAATATTTTTTACTCCTCAATCAAGCAAACAACTCTTCATGGCTTTAGCTATATTTTCCCCTTTATGTGAATGTATATGCACAAATGATATGACCTTTTGTATTTAGTTTCCAGTCATCATCAATAAAATGTGCAGTGACACACATATAATTGATTCTTTGAACAGATGTCCAAGTATTAGTAGTCAAACTAATGCATTGCGTGCTTGACTTCAACAATTTCTTGAGGTTCGTCTTCTCTTCAAAATAAATACTAAATATATCCCTATTAACTGTTCGTCTAGAAGGGATTTTAAATCTAGGGCATGCAGCTTCAACAAATTGTTTAAAACCCATCCCTTCAACAAACCTAAATGGAAGTTCATCCATTATAATCATTTTAGCTAACGTTTTTCGAACAACCTCTTGATGTCAAAGCACTATAACAATTATCAGATTTTGCAGATTGAAATGCAAGAATGAACTGTTTTGTTTCCTTAGCAAGTGGATTCTTTAGACAAGCGCGCATGTGGCTATTGAAAGATGAAGTACCA